CCATTTGCAACAATGTGGATGGAACTAGAGCGTGTGATGCTAAGCGAAGTAAGTCAGTCAGAGAAAGACAAATACCATATGATTTCACTCATATGTGGAGTTTAAGAAATGAAACAGATGAACATAGGGAAAAAAAAGAGAGAGGCAAATGGTAGAACAGACTCTTGCTATGAAGAACAAATTGCGGGTTGCTGGAGGGGGGGATGGACTAGATGGAGGATGGGCATTAAGGAGGGCACTTGTGGGGATGAGCCCTGGGTGTTGTATGTAAGTGATGAATCACTGAATTCTATTCCTGAAACCAATATTATACTATATGTTAACTAACTGGAATTTAAATAAAAACTTGAAACAAAAAAATAAGTTACACTAAAAAAAAATAAAATAGGATGTGAGGGTGATCTGACTAGGACATCTGTCACCCTATTGATTGCCAGGGTTGATTGGGCTGATCTGGCTGGCCAGGCGGGTGTCCCCTTCCTCCCTCACTGTTCCATGTGCGTCCCTCCCAAAGCTGCATGCTCAGTGGAAGAGGATGACCCTCCCTGTTAGAGGAGGACTGTTCTTCTGTCAAGGGTATAGGAATAGCTGCGCTATTTACTCAAGGTCCTCCAAACAAACTCAAGGTCCATTTGTAGGAGAACATAGGGTAGTCAAGTTTCCAAGACTCCAGACACAGCTAAATGAGGTACTCCATGTGGCAGTCTGCCTTTCTTTAATAAATAAAATAAAATAAAATAAAATAAAAGTAGAGGGAGATTGTCTCAGTGCCGGGTGCTGCCCCAGGAAGTCATGAGACTCCATCCCAGGGTAGGATTTCAGCAAAAGCTGGAAAGTCATCTGCCAGGAAAGCCTTAGAAGGGACATTTGCCTTCTATAGAAAAAGGGACGTGGTTACTACCTCCATGTTCACTCTCAACTTTCAACTGCATGAAATTGCATGACTCTATGAGAATTAAAGTAATATCACATCATTAAAACGTTAATTTGTACCTTTGTGCCTGTCCCACAATTGAATTTTCAGGAAGCTGATTACATTTCTTTCTATGGATTCAGGAAACCATTATTCCCCGTGATCTAATTTATTGAACATATTTTGGCCCTTACAGCTTATCTATCAGTCATCCCTAAACATACTTAGTACAAATGATTAAGATGTTTAGTGTTGATGAACATCACTTCTTAGAAGAAGAGCAATGCTAGCATTGTAAGTACAGGAGGAAAACAACCGGCAGTTTTTCAGGACCTGAACCTGCGATCTTCTGCTGGAGAAAATCAGATCTCATCAGAAGTGTTTTACCTGCTGTTAATATAAATATTGGTGTTAAGATGAATTTTGGTGTTAATATGAATGTTGGGGTCAATATTTTTCTTACTGATTTCTTAGTTCCTCCTAACTTTTAAACTTAAAAGAATCTTTGGAACTAAATAAGCTGAAAATATCTTTTAAAAATAAGAAACACATTTAGATTCTGGTGCACAGCAAATTCTCTGTGAAGAAAAGTTCCAAATTTGTGATTCTATTTGCATTTCCATAAACACAGTGAATCTTTGTCTGAGCTTATTATGTGACAAATAACAGTGTTAGAAACGGGGTGTTTTAAGATTCTAATTATGCATATGCTCCCATTCTTGTTAGTGCATTTACAACGCAAAGCAATACAAAATTTGTACTTTTGGCTCAAGAGCTTTTTTCTTAAAATTGACAATTTAATGATTTTTTAACTAACATTGGCCTCATTTAATGTAATTAAAATACTCAAAAATAAAAAAAAATGCAAAGGTGCCACTGCTCCCTGGGAACAGATCTGAGATGGAGAGGAGCATGCACCATGTCTGTGAGGGCGTGCCCTCAGGACAGCTGCCTGTGAGGGGGAGGGAAGAACTGAGCCAGGAGCAAGATCAGTGATCAGAGAGTTTGGGAGCCAGGCCCCAAGTTCTCACACTCCCATCAGGGTACCAGGTCCCAGCTACCCTTGGGAAGTTGAGGAAGGGACAGAGACTTCCAGAACTGTAAAGGCCATATAGTCAAGGACCACAGATGAATTAGGGGTAACTGGTGTGAATGGAAGTCCCTCACCCTGAAGAGGAATCAGGCAGCCCACACATACATTTGGGGCTCACCATAACCATGTTCCCACCTCTCTGGCTTGGTTAGCTAAAATTACTTAAATTTAAATAAAAGTAAACCTTTAGTAGCTCAGGTATGCTGACAGATGTTTGGGAACCCCATGTTGGACTGCACAGAACATTTCCTTCATTGCAGAAAGTTCCAGTGGACAGTGTTGCTCCACCCAACGGTGCAGCCACGTGTCCCAGAGGTCCTGCTGCCTCCCTGAGACACTGCAGGAAGAAGGGGCCAGTTCTCATTACCCTAACATCAGCAACCTCTCCCTCTGCTCCCCTCAACTGCACGTGTCCCTGTTTAGTCCCCTCAGTTGTATCTTTTCCTTCATGTTTGATATTAATATGGCTTAATAAAATAGAACTGGGCTCAGTAGCTACTAAATAGTGTTTCCATGTCCTCAAGGATAGGCCAGGAAGGTGGGGGAAATATTTGCATTCATCACACTAGTTCAGTTAAACAAAAGGAGGAAAACTCAGTTAAGTTTTCATATTTAAGTAGTGTAAACACATACCTTACCAACATTAACATCTGAAAATATAACATCAATCATTAGCCAACAAGAAATTAATGGAACACAAAATTATGACATTAATACATTTTAAAGCGTAGGAAATAAAACATGTTAGAATCAACCTCCTCCAAAAAACAAATCAAAAAACCCGTGTTTGATGATAATAGAATCTGCTTCGTTGGGCAAACCTTTCCATGAGTCACCTCCTTTAATTATTCAGTAAACATTGCATTGGTAGCTTTAGCTGCTGATTCTTCCACAGTATTCTTCTATAAGTTTTTGTTCTGCAGACTCTTTTAAAACGCTTCTGAACAAACTCTTCCAGACTTGAAATGTAGTGTCCTTGGGCCCTGCAATATTCACTGCTCTTTTCTCCCAGGGTCTCAGCACAAGTCTGGCCATTGCACAAACCATGTGTGGTACTTACAGGTATTTTTCCCAGTCAAGTATTCAGTAGACACACTGAAAGGGTGGGGTTTCAGCAGATCTTTCCTTTCTGCATCATACAGGGGCCCTCCCATGAGGTCTATGGGAAGGGAAGGGCAAACCTATTGCATCTTCCTCTGCATAAGGGAGCTGCATGAAATCACACCCACAGATGGATTGAATTGTTTTTAAATATGATAAATATACAACTGCACTGTCTAAAACACTGGTTCTATACCACAACATAGAAAGATTACCATCAAGGGATAGTTATCCATCAGGCATTCACCTCCCCAAATTTGATTCTTTTTTTTTTTTAAAGATTTTATTTATTTATTTGACAGAGAGAGACACAGCGAGAGAGGGAACACAAGCAGGGGGAGTGGGAGAGGGAGAAGCAGGCTTCCCGCCGAGCAGGGAGCCCGATGCGGAGTTCGATCCCAGGACCCTGGGATCATGACCTGAGCCAAAGGCAGACGCTTAATGACTGAGCCACCCAGGCGCCCCTCCCCAAATTTGATTCTACCGTCCCTCAGATTAGGATTCATTACTTTATTTCTTTGTTCACCATTCACTTCCTTAAACATTCATGTGACAAACAATGGGATAGGCTTTCTGGGGCTCTAACCAATGGGACATACAACCAAGAATCGTTAGTCAGATGGGAAACAGATTACCCCATCTAATAATTGGATTAAGGGGCCACCGCTCTGATTCAGAGGTTTGGTAAAGCTTGGATTGGAGAATCTAGCTTAAGATTGAGACTACCTTGGGGCTCCTGATTCCCTTCCCATGCACAGATAATGAGTCCAGTATGCTTGCCTGAGCCTGCAGATGGGAGTGGGGATGGTGACCAGACCCTCAAAGTCCAAGCCTAGTCTGTTTCTTCATGGATCTGACCATTGCTGTGCAGTAAGTGAAGTCTCAGGCCCAAAAGAGAAAGGGCAGCGATGTCCCTCACCTGCAGAGGAGTGACCCTGCCCACCAGTGAGATATGGCCAGTAAATGAAGTACTTCTTCCCCAAAGAAAAATGATTAGGGTGGAGAGGGAAATGTACACACTCCAGACCTCTCTCTTCCCTGGAAAGAAAAGGCAGGAGCCGCCATCTTGGTCAGTGGACGAAAACAACACGAAAAGAGGAGTTTTAAAATTCCTTCTATCTGCCTACAAATAATCCTTGTCTCATAGGAATACTGGGAGTTAGGGGTTAAATAAAACAAGTGAACTGCCTCATATTGGCAGGCATATATGTCCAGCGTGGTGTCTGGGTCTAGTAAATGGCCACATGTTCTCTTCTGCCCCCACACTCTTGTACCTTTGAGCTTCCTAAGGGAAAGGTGCTGGGTGTGAATAATCTTTGCTGTATGTTTGTTGGATTAAATCAGTTTTATTTATTGAGAACTCAACATCCTTAGCACTGAGCTTATTTGGTTTAAAATAAGTGGAAGAATTACAGAATTTTTACAGAATTTTTCATACCAGAAGTGGCCTTCGAGCTCATATCTCATGGGGTTCAGTGTGCCGGGAAGGTTGGGATTTGGGCTTCTACCTCGGTGTGCTTCCCGCTGCAACATGCATGTGGAGCGGGGCAGCTCAGAGGCAATGTCTCCACCACATCTGTATTCCCACCCCCCGACCCCCAAGCAGTGTCTGGCATGTCGCTGGCTCTCAGAAAATATTTGTTACATGAATTAATTCACTGTATTCCTCTTGCTGGGCCTTTGGCAGATGAAGGATAGCTTGTGGCTATCCTTCACAATTTGTGATATAATTTTCTCATACCACATACAGGGGCTTATAGTTAGACTCTTTTATGGACTGTGTAGAGAAAATTAAAATGTTTTAACTTCTTAAAAATACATAGGTAGTGTATATTTTTGAGGATATATCAGAGAGTAATGTACCACTTAGTGTGTGTTGTATTTTGATTTCAGGTAGACGGAGTAATCACAGGTTGGAGACAAACATCAAAGGCTGGGGAAAGTACCTTGGACAGCAGCAGAGAGCACACAAACAAAAGGTACCACCTCCCCAGCTGTCTGTCTTGAGCTTTATTATCGTTCTCTTCATTGTCATTTGGTGTCTAGAATGTACCTTCCCCAGAGATACAGTTATTTAAAGTTTATAAAGGATTCCTGCTGTGAATGTTAATGTTTATTTCCAAAATGTAGACTCTCGATTTGTAGGGCTCTTGATCCCTAAAAAAACAAACCTTGTGTATGTACAGGCCCCAGTTACTTGTGACGATAATGGTAAGAGTGGTGATGTCAGCACCAGTGACCACTAACATTGACTGAGCACTCCCTTTGTATCAGGCACTGTTCTGTGTGCTTCACGCATATTAACACACTTTGTCCTTCCCAATTTTATCCTCAGCTTACAGATGGGGCAAATGAGGGAGAGAAGTTTAGGATGTCTGAAGTTCGGGTAGCCGTGATATGTCACTTCATAGATCCTAAAACTCTCAGGGATGCAAGGGCCAAGAGGCCCCATCATGTACCCTCCTGTCAACCTCCTACTCACAGGTGATCTTCAAGCCTCTGCGTCAACCTCTCTCCCACCGGCTCCCTCCTTGCTCTCCATACTCCCCAGTGGCAGGAAGCCTCTCCTCCATTCCCCGCTGAACATTCTAGCTCTGCAGCCTGAAGACCCTCAGAACAAAGCCCAGCTCCTGTGAGCAGTGGCATCCCTTAAAGTATTCTGGACAGAGGTCTCCTCATTTCAGTTCTTCCTTAGAATGCACATCCCAGGCCTTTCGGCTTTCCTTCTGCTTGTCATGATTTCCAGACTCTTACAATCCAGATGGCAAAATCTATTTTGAACCCAGGCAAACTATCTTTGTGATACAAATGTATATGCTGAAATTATCATCACAAAAATACCTGAACAAGAGCTATATTTACGTCTTGCATAATACAAGCAGTCAGGCATTCATATATTCTGAGTCAACTGTGGAAGTTTTGTGGATTTTCAAACGGGTTTGTCTGAACAACAGGTGTGGAGTTGGATTCCTTCTGATAGGTGGGTTTCTGTTTTTAACCTTGGAGACCCACTCTCATATTTCCTAGTTTAGTGGCTTCCATGTCAGACATATGTGTAACTTACAGAGATTCAAGGGTATTACGCTATTACGAATATCCATGGTCATAATTGACCCCCAGCAGCATCCACACATGTAAGGAGTGTGAATCCAGTTTGTAAGGAATCGCAGGAACAGGAAGCCAAGTCATGGCAAACAGCATGGAGCTGGTCTTCAGACCCCGGGGAGATCACCATTACAGTGATTACTTCCTATGTTACATTTGCAAAGCCTCTCTTGTTCGTTTGTACTGCTGAGAAATAATCACCTCCCAGCTATGCATTACATATCTATGTGAGGGTTGTTTGTGGCAGCGCTCCTTCATCATTGACAAACGTCACCATCCACATCACCTCAGCCTCTGGCTGGGCGATCCCATGAACCAAACAGCTGCCTGTGGAGGCTGCACGTGGGAACGAGGTCAGGCAGGTGTGAGCTCAATGGGAAGGAGGATGGCGGACCTAACAATAGACCTCTCATAGCTAGAGCGAGCCTTTGCTCTTACTATGCAGACAGAGTGACTGCAGGCGGAAGATCAGTGGAGTAAGGTTCTGTTCACTGGGACCAGAGGGGATCATGTTTTGTGGGAAGGTAACCGATGCTGTGAACTCTCGTAGTCCCATGACACTGTCTGATCAAGGAGGACACATAACTTGCTCAGAATGGTTTTATTGAGTGTGGAGTGCCTAGTCTGTGCTCCATGATACTCTCTGTCTTTCATCTTCAAAATTACTGTAAGAGAAATTGGGTTATTCCTAATGGACTGAGGTTCAAAGAGATTAATTTGCCCAAGATCACAAAGTTGCTAAGTGATAGTAGAGCCAGAATTATAACTCTTAGTCTGTTCTTGGGCTTGCCTTCCTACTACATTCATGGTGTCTTTTTTTTTTTTTTATATATATAGACATTTTTCTTTAGAGCAGTCTTAGGTTCACAGAAAAATTGAGTGAAAAGCACAGAGATTTCCCATATGTCCATGGCCCCCACTCATGCACAGTCTTCCCCACTGTCAACATCTACCACCAGAGTGGTACATTTGTTACAGCTGTTGAACCTACATTGATGCACATCATTATCACCCAAAATTCATAGTTTACATTAAGGTTCAAACTCAGTGTTGTTCATTCTGTGGGTTTTGACAAATATATAATGACAGTTATCTACTGTCATAATATCATACAGAGTAGTTGCACTGTCCTAAAAATACCTGTGCTTCACCCATTCATCCCTCTCTCCCCCACCCCCACCCCTGGCAACTATTAATCTTTTTACTGTCTCTCTAGTTTTACCTTTTCCAGAATGTCTTAGAGTTGGAATCATTTAGTATGTAGCCTTTTCAGATTGGCTTCTTTCACTTAGTAATATACATTTAAGGTTCCTCCATGTCTTTCCATGACTTGATAATGTATTTCTTTTTAGTGCTGAATAATACTCCATTATCTGGATGGACCACAATTTATTTATCCATTTGCCCACTGAAAGAAATCTTGGTTGCTTCCAGTTTTGTGAAATTATGAATGAAGCTGTTATAAACACAGTGTGCAGGTTTTTGTGTGGACATAAATTCTCAACTCCTTTGGGTAAATACCGAGAAGTGCGATTGCTGGATTGCATGGTTAAGGGTGTGTTTAGTTATGTGAAAAAACTGCCAAACTGTCTTCCAAAGTGGCTGTACCACTTTCCATCCCTGCTAGTAATGTATGAGAGTTCCTGTTGCTCCTCATTCTTGCCAGCGTTTGGTAGTGTCAACATTCTGGACTTTGGCCATTCTAACATGCATGTACTTGTATCTCCTTGTTGTTTTAATTTGCATTTCCCTGATGACATATGGTCTGGAGCATCTTTTCATTTGCTAATTTGCCAGCTGCACATCTTCATTGGTGAGGTGTCTGCGAAGGTCCTTGGCCCATCTTCCAATCACACTGTTTTCTTATGTTTGAGGAGTTCTTTGTATGTTTTGGATAACAGTCATTCATCAGATGTTTTTTGCGAATATTTTCTCCCGGTCTGTGGCTTGTCTTGTCTTTCTCCCAAAATCGTCTTTCATGGAGCAGAAGTTTTTAATTTTAATGAAATCCAGCTTGTCAACTATTTCTTTCATGGATTGTGCATTTGCTGTTGTACCTAAACTGGCATCGCCGTACCCAGGGCTGGTTAGCTCTTCTCCTGCGTTCTCTTCTAGGAGTTTCACAGTTTTGCATTTTGTGTTTAGGTCAGTGATCCATAGTGAGTTATTTCTTGTGAAGGCTGCAAGGCTTATGTCCAGATTCATGTTAAATATACCCATGTTGTATTAATTTTTTAGGTGTATGGTATTTTGATGCTATCAGAAATGTGTTTTTATTGCTAGTATACAGATTTGCAATTGATTTTTTTATCGTGGTAAAATACATATAACATAAAATTCACCATCTTAAGTATCTAAAAGTATACAACTCGGTGGCATCTATGGCAATAATTTACAACCATCACCTGGTGGAAGATGATGGTGGAAGTGAAAAGTAATTCACTTTTGTGTTTGATTTTGTACCTGGCAACCTTGCTGATCTCTCGTCTGATTTTATTAATTTGTTGGTCCTTTTGGATTTTCTATATATCTACAGAGAATGATGACTTTCTTTCTTCCTAATCTTGTATCTTTTACTTCTTTTTCATGCCTTAGTGCGTAGGGAAAGGCACCAGTACGATGTAGAATGGAGATGAAGAGCGGGCATCTTTGCCTGATTGCCAGTCCCAGAAGAAAAGTTCAACATTATGCTATTAAGTCTGAAACATCTTATTGGTTTCATAATTCATTCTTTCATATTCAAAATCTGAGGTTGTTTCTATTTGTGTTCTTACTGCTTCTGCTTGTTCTCATGCAAAGTGACCCTTTTCCTTGGGTGATCTTAATTTTGATGGTGAGCTGCTCTATTGCCTTAGGAAATAGTTTGGGGGCTTCTCAGAAGCCTGGGAGGTGCTGAGCCTGGGAAAAAAATTGGCATGTGCTTTGGGGCAGACCCTACCTGAGGACACTGCCAGTTTGGAACCACTTTACTCTAAATTCAAGACCGGTGGTTTTTAACCATGGCTTTCCCAACACAGCCTTTCTCTGTCCCACTCTTCTCACAGTCCCCAGGGTGGTGGGCAGAGTGGGTTTACTTTTCATTCACTCTTACATGACAGAAAAGCCTTCTGGTAGAGAGGCTGTCCTGTCAGACTGCTCACCTGGCACACTCAGGGCCTTGACCCCTGTTCCCAGACTCCATAAGGCCAGCAAGACCAAAAAGCACCACTTTAGGGACTCAGCAAATTCCCTCAGGGCAAAGGTGGCTTCAGGGATCTACTTCCTCCCTCGTTCCTCCTTTTACTGAATTCTGCCCTTAGGGTTCCTTATTATCTTATCACATCTTTCCTGACCTCCCTAAAGTTTTTAATGGGAGGCAGGAATCTTTGGTCCAAATATGCTAGCCTTCCATATTACCAGAAGCAAGTTCTTTCCTTATGTTCTTTAATAAAAGGAATCAATCTTTGATGTGTTTTATGCCTAGTGATTTTAGACCTTTTCTCTTGCTTTCTTCCATGGTGATAAAAATATTCATTTTGCTTTCCAGTTATTCTTAATTAGACTCCAGAAGTTCTGGTGCTGACAGTCAGGTGGTGGGTAAAACTAAACTGGTAATGGGCATCTGTTGGGCGTCTGACATTGAGGGGGACAAAAGCCCCTCTCCTCTTTATTTTGGGATTAGTGTGATCCACAGGTGCCCCTGGCCTATCTGCTCACTGTCCATTACCCAGAGACTCATGACCAATTAAAGTCCTACATGCAAATTATTCCTCACAACATCTGAAGGGGGTGACATCTGGCTGAGTTCAGTGTTTATTACTAAGATCCAGAAGTTGTGGCCCAAGAGGTATATGCCTGGAAGTGAGATAGGCTGCTTTTCCTCAAAGTCAACATAATTATAATAGACGGATTTAGGTATTTACTTAATTAAGTCATAGATACGATAGCCTTTTAAATAAGAGCATGGGAATTAAAATGTAAAGCTATACTTAATAATGACTACATAGTTTATAGCGTACAGTCTGGGTCTTTGGAATATTTATGCTTTATATTCTTTGTATACATTACACTCTCCTTCAGCGGGTCCATGTGTATTAGTCAAAACACTGAGAAAAATAAAAACCTCAAGTGCCTTCAAGGGCTACTCAGCCAACAGGAATGAGGGGGAAAAGGTTACAAGAACAACAGAGGGTTTACACTCTCCAGAGAAAGTCAAACCTCCCTCCCCACCATACACTGTGTCTGAGGACATCAGTATGGAGCTCCTGGATGAAGCCAATTGTGATTTTCTGTAGGTCAAAGATGTCTTATTTAATTTCAGGATTGCACAGTAGTATAATGTTTTTTCATTTATTTAACATGTATTCAGTAAAGCTATATACCAAAGATACAAGGTGAAAAAGACAATATAATTGCTTCAAGGACGCTGGTCTAATAGGGAGAACAGACCAATAATGAGACAATTACATGATAATGTGATAAATGTTCTATTCGAACTCTATGCTGTACTGTTAGATGCTACTAGGAAACGTGCCTATTTGCACAGACCATAGAATGGCTGGGGGCTGGAATAGAGGCACTTAATATATTCTGCTGAATGACTGACAGAATGACCAGTACAGTGATTCCAAAATAAGTTGATTATCAAAGGCACTGGGGGGAACTTGATATAAATACAGAGTACTGGGCCCAACCCCAGACCTACAGATTGAAATTACCGGGGAAGTAGCCCAATGACCTATAGTATCTAGAATTTTCTATATGATGGAGGCATGGGGATCTTTCTTGTTCTGTTTTCACGTAACTGTCACCAAGAGAACTGAGTGCCGGCAGCAGGAGTGGGATCTTGTGGGGGAAACTGGTGGACAGAGCTTTCTAGGCACCCGAATGTATATAAATGCTCCTGCATGCAGGCTGGATCATCTAAAGCAGCAGGGTCCAGGAGCCTGATTAACTACATTCAGGAGTAAGACCTGTCCATAGTGGTTCTGTTATTGATCCTGGCTGTGGGGTTTGCCTGCTGTATCATTTAAAGATTCTCAGGTGTGGGGCACCCGGCTGGCTTAGTCAGTAGAGCATGCAACTCTTGATCTCAGGTTGTGAGTTCGAGCCCCATGTTGGGTATAGAGATTGCTTAAAAATTAAATCTTTTAAAAAGTGAATAAATACAGATTCTCAAATGAGCAGAGTCTCCCAGCCTAACTCCCCAGCACTTTACTTCTCCACTCTTGCTCCTACAGGGCTCTGAGCTACCTGAAACCAGGGACAGTCTCTTATTGTATCTCTATGCTGTATGCTCTATAAGCATCTCTATGCTCTAAGGATAGCACTTGCTGATGTTTGCTGAATAAATGAATGGATGATTGATTCTGTTTGAAATTTCATTTAAAAAGGCATCTCAATTTCCTTTTGCCTTTTTTGCTGTTGTAGAAGCAAGCAAATTGAGAAACTAGAAGTAGATCCTAGCAAGCATTCCTTCCCTGATGTGGCTAACATAGTTCAAGAGAAAAAACACAGGCCCCGAAGAGTTCAATCTGAACCCAAAATTACAGCAAGTGAGGAAGATCCCGACTTTGAAGATAACCCTGAAGTGCCTCCATTGATTTGAAACATCAGGCTGCATCGATGGACCCACCAGACCCAGTTCTGTTCATTGCAGAGTGTGTGCAGACCATTTATGGTAAACACAGAGTTATTTATCAACGTTACTACTCCAGTGTTTTAGCTTCTACTTTATACAGTAATATTCTTAAACTAGTTTAAAATTCAAATGTACACCTTAAAATGCTATAACTCATTTGTCTATAATAAAATGCTCCTAGTGCAAATGTTCCATAAATCAAAGAACTATTACATTAAGACGTTGATTTTCAATCATAGGACTGGCTGCTAATGCAGACAGATGAAGTCAGAGATAAAAGGCCTGATTATTAAATTGGTACTTCAGCAAATTGGTCAAGCTCAGAAGTTAAAACTGTAATTTCAGATCGAATTGGAATGCTTTAATATGATTTTAGCAGTGTTTCAATTTTCTTCTCATGATTATTGGTGGTAATACTTTGGAATGATGAAGAGGAGAGTGAGCAGAGGTAGGAAGGGAGAACCTCTAAGGCTGTAGATATAGGCTTGACTTCCACAAAATGAGGGGAAGGAGGTGAAGGGAGGGGGATGGAGGATGGGCTAAATGGAGCCTTGGGAGACAGTGCAGCTCTGAGAGCACTCCAGCCAGCCCAGCGGGAGCTCTAGCACAGGGTTGTCCACAGAAGACGAGCCTCTTGGGTCAAGATGGCTGAGCCCAGCTACCCCTGCCATATTCAGGTCTTGGCCAGTAGCTCCCTGCCCTGAGACTGGTGGCCAGGGCGGGAGACTTTTGGTGCTCTGTACTCCTTGTGCAGATTCTCTCTTGGGGAGAGCTGAGCTGGGCACCTCTGTCGTGCCACCAGGAGGTTACAGAAGCTCCGCCAGCCTTGAGGAGGCTGTCCTGAGGGCTTATGGGAAAGAAGAAAGTGCTCTTCAGTGCTGGGGGAAAGGAGACCCCTGGACATAGAGGAGGAAAGGTTAGCAGAGCTGTTGCCTGGAGTCACGTGGAAACATTATAAATGTACCTCCTGCCTGAGTAGGTGTAGGGAAAGAGATTTCCAAGTAGAATGCCAGAGGACCACTAGCGTTTTTAGCTCCAAATCAAAAGACACAAATAGGGCGCCTGGGTGGCTCAGTCGGTTAAGCGGCTGCCTTTGGCTCAGGTCATGATCCTGGAGTCCCGGGATCGAGTCCCGCATCGGGCTCCCTGCTCGGCGGGGAGCCTGCTTCTCCCTCTGACCCTCCCCCCTCTCATGCTCTCTGTCTCTCCTTCTCTCTCTCGCAAATAAAAAATAAAAAAAAAAAAAAAAAGACACAAATAATTGGTCCATTTTCAAGCAGCATTTAGAGAAAATATAAAGGAACTAAACTGGCTAGGTTCAAAAATAAAACTTTTTCATCCCAGTCTCTCCCAATTGAAATAAAAAAACAGCCTCCCCCTGACTGTGAACCACATTGTTGTTTTGGGTCTCCCAGGAACTACCAGCAGTTTAGAGTTGGTGTCTAGTAACCCCTGAAAACTCTGTTTATCAATGCACAGTCATCCAGGGTAAGTGCAGACCTCTTTACAGAAGGCTAGGAGGAAGATTCACAGGATAAAATCTGGGCAGTGTAGCAGGGATCTCCAATGAGATCCAGCCATGAGGTAGTGAGCCATGGGCATACCTGGGGGAAGAGTGTCCTAAAGACTGAGAACAGCATGTGCAAAGGCCCTGAGGTAGCACATGGTTTCAGGAACAGCCAGTAAGCCAGGGTGACTGGAGCAGGCTGAGCAGGGCAGAGTATCAGAGAAGGGCTGGGAGAGCTAATGGAGAGGCGGCCCTGAAAATGCTTGATCTAAAAAGGCAAGCCTACCACTGGGCAATCATATTGCTCCCAAAGGAGTGTCTTTGGATTTTGTAGCGTTTTGTTTTTGGGGTTTTTTGCCAAATATTTTCCTATGCCCATCTCGTTTTTGATCTTAGGAGAAATCCTCTCAACTAAGCATTTGTTCATTTTTCATTCAATAGGAATGTGCCTACCGTGGACCAAGTACAGGGAGTATAATAGTGAACCCAAAGAAACATCTCTTGGGTTTCACTGAGCTTATATTTTTGTGATGCAAACAAATGTGGATCAATTATACTAGCAAACTGAGCTAACTTTTCTGAACCCACTGTTATGTTTTACAACTGAGACTCCCAAAGATCAGGTGGCTTGCTCTAAGATAGCACAACAAGATGTTAGAATGAGATTCTCATTAAGTCATTTTTGACTGGGTTTCTAATATGAAAGACTTTTACCTACCAAAGTGAATGAGATGGTTCACATGGCAATGTTTTCAAAGAAAATAGGCACAAACCTACTTCATGAATCTTAAAAAGACTCACTCCCTTTGGAAATATGAAAAGAAGTATGAGGGTAGAGGGGCTTTGTGGGGGATGATGTCTTTGGGGGTGAAGATGGATGAACACATGTCTTTGGAGAGAGCTGTTACCTTACTGTGAGCTCCACTTCCGATTCGGGGCTCCTCCTCTGTAGCCCAAGCTTAGTGAGAGGGCCTCCAAAGGGTTGAACCAGGGAGTTTTGAAGAGTTTCCTGAAGTTTGGGGACACACAGGCTGGTGCTTGACTCATGCCTGAGAAATCTGAAACTGACAGTGGGCCAGAGTCCCATCCTGCTAGGGGAATCATCCATGGGACCAGAGAAAAGCTGTGCCAGAGGAGCGGAGAGTGTGGCCCCCTCCCACAGCTGGCTGGGGACAGGGAAGCATGAGACTTTTCCAAGGACTAGATGTGGGTTGTCATGGGCTCTGTCCATTTGGGCCGTCTGGAGGGGTGAGGAGCCCAGGGAGGAGGCTGGAGGCATGCCACTGCGTGCGAGGCTGAGGAAGGATGCTCAGAGGACTGCCCAGGACCAGGAACATAGTTGAGGGGCAAACGGGGAGCCTCTGAAGAGTCCATGAAAGGGCCTCAAGAAGGAGAATAGTCAGCTTCATTTGTCCTCTAGGCTAGCAGAGCAAGAAGCCTGGCCAAGCCAAGTGAGGACCATCTTACCTGTACCAGTCAAGGTCCTGGCAGTTCCTAGCCTTGGACTTGAATGGGTAAAGAGAGAGAGTGGTCACCTGGACCCAGAGAGACAACTGAAGGCAGTAGACAGCCAGCAGGAACTGGGACCTTCTTCCAGGGATGCAGCCCACAGGGATGAAATGGGGAAATAAACATCGTGACCTTAATTTCCTCCTCCCTCCAATCTCTTGCTAGAGTTTCCCACCGGCCAAACCCGACCAGAAGCCAGGGGCAAGGGAGCCTGCCCATGTGGCCCTCAGAGGTCATGCTCCCAGGGTCCACAGCATGGTAGAGGGCGGCAATGGATGGAGCCCACACATGCCCCCTCACCTCTCTCTCCTCACCTGCCCCTGCCTTCCTGACTCCAGGATGGCCCGGGGCAGGGGAGGGAGAGGAGTGGAGAAGGTTAATGCCAGGGTGGTGACTTTACTGAGCAGAGACTGGGAGCACTGAAAGGCCTCTATTCCCCAAGAGTAGGAGGAAACGTCCATAGGACCTGCCTACATCTTCATCCAGGGCAGGGCCACCCCATTGAAGAAAGAGGAAAGGAAGAGTGGGAGACACAAATACGTTGTTTTAATCACTTGCTGCAAGGTGAGCATTCAGTGTTCCGTTTATGCGAATAATACCCCGCTTCCGGAATCTGGTGCTCCGGCTGCTCTCTGCGGGTCCTCCCTGCGCCATCCTCCTTACCTCTGCTTCGGCCTTTTCTTGCTTCCGGAAGGCTCATTGCTTCTGCGCCCACACCAGCGCCTCCAGGGGCAGGAGAGGCCCCAGGAGAGAGAAAAATCTCACGGATGTGATGCCAGCTTCTGGTCCTGTTGCCCAGATGCCCTCAGGTCCACAAACTTCTCCTGCTTCTCTGTAGCTGGTGTTGAGCAGCGACAACTGTCCTTTCTCCACCATCATGTCCCCTTGTGTCCCGCACAGCTGTTTCCATCTCTGCATCCGCTCCTGGCAGTGGGACCCTCGCCTGTGAGTGGCCTGTGAATGGCACGAGACCGCTGACCGTGGCAGTCACGGGGACGGGGCGGGCAGTGCTGCTCCAGCCCCAGGGCCTGGGTTGCAGTGCCCTCCTTCCCTGCCATCCCTCCTACCCCGCCACAGGAAGCCTGCCCTCCGCCTGACAGCAGGGGCCGCACCACGCAGCGCATGTCTGTCACCATTTGCAGTCTGTCACAGCTTGCCTGACACATTTGGATGGAAAGCGCTAGCCCGTCTCCAGTTGACGCCTGTCAGGCCAACGTGTCTGACACTCCTGGAACAGACCGTAGCCAAAAGTAGCTGTTCTTTTCCAAATTCACTCCCTAACTTTTGCTCCTCCGATTTGGTCTGGTGTTTTCCCTGTGTGAGAGATAAACTTCCATTGGCCCTGTGGCTGGGTCTCTTCACTTGGCAAACATTTGCTGAGCACCTGCTAGGTGCCAGGAGCCATATCAGGTGCTAGGGAAAGTTGTCTTCTGAGAGCCCACTCTCCCAGTTCTCGTCCTCTTTCCGTAACTGCTCCCTCCACCCTTCACATAAGGCCGTCCCCCAGGGTGAGCCCTTTGGCCCCATCCTCTTCTCCGTGGGTACACTTCCCCTTCCTGGGACACCTGGGCCCATTCCTGTGGCTTCTGCTGCCAGCTCTTGGCTGATGCCCCCTGAAATCCCCGTTTCAGGCCTTCGATGCTTTCCTAAAGTTCACCTGACTCCTCCTGGTCCAACGCTCAGGTCATCCATCAACTTCTCTCCTCTTTTCCTGCCCCTTCACCTTGTTCTGCCTCCTGTCCTCTGGCTCTTGTTTTATGCCTTCACTTTCCATTCACGTTGATTGGAAAACACCATCACTGCTTCCTGTGTTCAGCATTCAGTTGGCAACTAAATCCTGTCTGTTCTACCTCACAAAGAGCTTCTCCTGTCTCCTTTAAACCCATTTCCACTGCTTGCACTCAATCTTCCATCATCCACTTGTCAACATGACCCCTACCTCACCCCTCCTCGACTTAAACACCCCCTTGGACTGTTGCCCAGAGGACAAGATCTGGACCCCATCCTGCTGTGAGGCCACATCTCCCACCACTTGCCCCTGAGCCCCAGCCTACCCATGACACCAGAGTTGTCACCATTCATGAGAGCCATGTGGGGGTTACCCATGCATAGAAGCTCTGTAGGTGGTGTCA